AGGGGGTGCAGTATGTTGACATGTGAGAGAAAATGCATGTACCTACATATACACTGAATTCTCACAATAACCCTGCAAGGTAGATACCATTTGTGGAATGACTTGCCCCAGGTCATCCCCAAAGTAAGCAGGACTGTCTGGTCCTAGAGCTATACTAGTAGAATTGTATTCCCCCCAAACTGAGAGCTTTGATAATGCCTGGAGCCATTCTGTACAGAGCCAAATGCTTTTTCCCATCTCCACCATCTCCACTTGAAAGGGACAAATTGTGCCAGTGGTGGGAGTTCAAGCTGGAGGGGGGGAGGAGGCGGAGCCAGCCCTCAAGCATCTGGCCCTCAGATCAGTTAGCCATGTCTTCAGCTGTCACAGGAAATGGGACCTCAGAAGTTATGGTTGTCATCCAGCACTTTCATTTCACAGATGAGAAAATAAGGCACTGGTCCAAGTCATCCAGGGTGACGGTGACAAAGCTGTGCTTGCTTCCCAGGTCCCCTGACCTCAGACAGGCACTTTCTCTCCTCATCTCAATCCTTTTCCCTGTCTTGTGGCAAGAGACTGACAATCTACATTTCCAGTCCTAGTTCTGCCACTGACTAATAAATTAAATTAAAGTAATAAATATTTACTAAGCACCTACTGTGTGTCAAGCACTCTTCTGGGTGCTGTGGGTACAGCATAGAACAAGACAGACAAGGGGATAATAGCTAATAGTGGGTAAATAAATAAATAATTTTCTACAGTAATAACTGCTACAAGGAAAATTGACCAGCTGAGATGAGTATTTGAGGGGGGTGGGGTGAGCTACTTCAGTTAGAGTGATCAGGGAAGGTCTCTGAGGGGACATCTGAGCTGAGACCTGATTGACAGAAGGAGCCACTCATGGAAATTTTAGGCAGAATGAACAAGTTCCCAGGTCCTGAGGCAGGGCCCCAGAGGGCCCACTCAAGCATCAGAAGGAAGATCTAGCAAGCTGGTTGGGGGAAGGGGTGAGGCAGAGACTGAGAAAAGGCAGGGGCCAGGCCACACAGCCTCTCTGTGTGCTGTGGGGCCTAGAATCTGCCCTCTCTGAGCTTTGCTCTCCCCGACTATCACAGAAGTGGTTCTACGGGATGGCCTCTCGGGTCCCCCTTGCTGGTCTCCCCCCCCACACACTTGCTGTTTTCGACACTGAAGAATTCTGTGCCCTGTGGCTGCTCCTCTGCATGCAGGTGCAGCCTAAAACATCCCAGGCATACGGCTCTACCTTTGCCTCACTTGTGGCCCATCCCCAGAGGCTGGAACACCTGCCCAGCTGTCCTTTGGGTCCCTTGCTCACTGGGCACTCTCTGTGTACACCCAGGGAGCCAACACAGGAAGGTCTGGATTAGTGCAGCAGTACAGCTGCTTCTCCACAAAGGCAGATGTACAAAAGTACCAAGGCCAGGAAGGGTTCAGGTTTAATGACAGCAGAAACCAAGTCCAAAACTAGAAGCCACTAAAGGAGAGGGACAGAGGAACAGACTGCCCAGAGAGCTCCCCACTCACCCAGCACCTATGAAATGGGGGCCGTCTTACCCCTTCCCAGTCAAAGTCACAGAAAGAGGGGCAGTTTCCAAGACCCAAACCCATCAGGGATTTGCAGGAGATACCTCTGAGGTAGGGGCTCCTGCCCTTCCATTGCCAGAAAGCCTCATTCCTGGTGCCTGGCCACCCCCCAGAGCCCGCCAGGCCCCTTACCTCCTCCCCTCACTTTTGTGTGGCCATTCTCCCCACAAATGCTGGGGTCCCCCTTCCCCAGGAGCAAATGCTGAATACCTCTCTCCTCCCCACGAGAGACCGGAGGGTTTCTAGTTCTGTCACACAGCCCTGTTCCCTCCTCAGATGCAGACCTCCCACCACCCAGGAATTAGGAACCCCGGTCCAAAGCCCTCCTGGGAGCCAGGAGTCTGAGCCCCCGGCCTGCCCTTCCCCCCATGAAGGCTCACAGCCCACTACATCGTTCCCCCTAGAAAGCCGACACCCCATATCCCTTTGTGCCTTAGAAGTCCAAGAGTTTCAGCTCCCTGGAGTACCCAGATCCCTTCCTCCATTCTGGAACCCCCATTACCACAGACAAGTCCCTCACCAGGAATCAGGGCTTCCACACCACCTACCCCTGGAGGACTAGATGTCTAAGACATCCACTTTCTACTCCCTTCTAGAGTCCAACTGCTCAACTCCCTTCAGGACACACGGCTAGGGGTCCTGCCCCATGATCCCCAGAGAAATCAGGAGTCCTGACTCCCAGATTCTATTCCCCTCCAAGACCTAGGAATCCGGGTGACTAGAAGTCACACATCCCAACCAATAGCCAGGCTCAACCCCCTCAAGCATCCAGGATTCGGATTGGCGGCACACTTGCTCTGTTATCTGAGGCCCAGACATCCCAGGCCAGAGTCCGGACCCCTAAACCCCTCCCTCTAAACCGGACTTGGAGTCCTCAGCCCCTGGCGGAGCACCCCGGTGGCCCTGGCCTTCATCCCACCTCTCACTGAGCAGGCGCATGGGGTGCCAGCACGGCCTCCGCATCAGCCAGCATCTCGTCC